TGTACAGCGCGGTGAGCCCAGCCCTAGGCCGGGGTACCGCGCTATATAAGACCACTTATTATTATTATTATTATTATTATTATTACTTAGTGTAATCAATCTAATTATATATTATATTTACCTATAAATATATCTGGGGAAACAGAAATGTTGCGAAGTGAACAATGTATTAGCTTTAAACTTGATCATTTATAGAGTAAGCTAAATGCCTTATCCACCTAGCACTGGATTAAGTGTGGAATGTACTAACGACTTTAATCTGTTATAGGTTGTAAAATGAAAACCTCATTTGTATCTATTCGCTTGTATCTGGATTAAACTGGACATTGCTATTTTCTTTGACCATACGATGAACTTATTGATTCTTCACGTCGCGAATGTCGTGTCAAATCTTCCCTGTAGATAAAGTGACACTGTCCCAGCGATACTCGTGCATGAAATCCAAACTGCTGCCTACAATGTCACAAGTTACAGTTGGAGACTTACCTGACAGCAGAGCAGCACTGCTAGCGGCGCGTTATCAACAGGGGAATGTACTCGTCAGGCTCTGTAGGGGGAATCCCCTTACCAAAGCAGGTAAGTCTGGCATTTTACAAAAATATCCAACCTCCAACTTTCAACAAACACACCCAACATTGCATCAACACATCCCCATCAACACAGCCCCCATATTGCATCAACACAACCTCACATTGCATCAACACATCCCCATATTGCATCAACACTACCTCACATAGCATCAACACATCCCCATATTGCATCAACACATCCCCATATTGCATCAACACAACCTCACAAAGCATCAACACAACCTCACATTGCATCAACACATCCCCATATTGCATCAACACAACCTCACATTGCATCAACACATCCCCATATTGCATCAACATAACCTCACATTGCATCAATACATCCCCATATTGCATCAACACAACCTCACATTACATTAACACATCCCCATATTGCATCAACAAAACCTCACATTACATTAACACATCCCCATATTGCATCAACACAACCTCACATTGCATTAACACATCCCCATATTGCATCAACACAACCTCAGATTGCATCAATACATCCCCATATTGCATCAACACAACCTCACATTGCATCAACATATCCCCATATTGCATCAACACAACCTCACATTACATTAACACATCCCCATATTGCATCAACACAACCTCACATTGCATTTCCACATCACCATATTGCATTAACACAACCTGACATAGCATCAACACATCCCCATATTGCATCAACACAACATCACATTGCATTAACACATCCCCATATTGCATCAACACAACCTCACATTGCATTAACACATCCCCATATTGCATCAACACAACCTCACGATGCATTAACACAACCTCACATAGCATCAACACATCCCCATATTGCATCAACAGAACCTCACATTGCATTAACACATCCCCATATTGCATCAACACAACCTCACATTGCATTAACACATCCCCATATTGCATCAACACAACCTCACATTGCATTAACACATCCCCATATTGCATCAACACAACCTCACATTGCATTAACATATCCCCATATTACATCAACACAACCTCACATTGCATTAACACATCCCCATATTGCATCAACACAACCTCACATTGCAATAACACATCCCCATATTGCATCAACACAACCTCACATTGCATTAACACAACCTCACATTGCATTAACACAACCTCACATATCATCAACACATCCCCATATTGCATCAACACAACCTTATATTGCATTAACACATCCTCATATTGCATCAACACAACCTCACATTGCATTAACACAACCTCACATAGTATCAACACATCCCCATATTGCATCAACACAACCTCACATTGCATTAACACATCCCAATATTGCATCAACACAGCCTCACATTGCATTAAAACAACCTCAAATTGCATTAACACAACCTCATATAACATCAACACATCCCCATATTGCATCAACACAACCTCACATAGTATCAACGCAACCTCACATTGCATCAACACATCCCCATATTGCAGCAACACAACCTCACATTGCATCAACACAAACTCACATAGCATCAACACATCCCCATTTTGCATCAACACAACCTCACATTGCATCAACACAACCACACATTGCATCAACACAACCTCACATTGCATTAACACATCCCAATATTGCATCCACACATCCCCATATTTTATCAACAAAGACCACATTGCATTTACACATCACCATATTGCATCAACACAACCTCACATTGCTTTAACACACCCATATTGCCTCAACACACGCACACATTGCATCAATACAACCCCATATTGCATTAACACACCACAGCTCAAATCTCATCCAGCCGCCAAACATATCAAACCTTTCATATACACGACACACATTTAACATCAGACCAACACAACTCATGATACTAACACACAACATCACCAGCGTCACACCAAAACTACATACCCCAAACCTCACACCAACGCAACACACATCCAACCACACCTTGACTCAAACATCTACAAAATCACAAAACAACACAAACTCCCAAAATCACAGAACTACACAAACTCCCAAAATCACAGAACTACACAAACTCCCAAAATCACAGAACTACACAAACTCCCAAAATCATAGAACTACACAAACTCCCAAAATCACAGAACAACACAAACTCCCAAAATCACAGAACTACACAAACTCCCAAAATCATAGAACTGCACAAACTCCCAAAATCACAGAACAACACAAACTCCCAAAATCACAGAACTACACAAACTCACAACCATGTGACCTCCAAACTTACCCAAACCATATGACCTCTAAGCTTACCCCAACCATATGACCTCCAAACTTACACCAACCATATGACGTCCAAGCTTACACCAACCATATGACCTCCAAGCTTAATAAAACCATATGACCCCCAAGCTTACCCCAACCATATGACCTCCAAGCTTACACCAAAACAGCTCACTAACATATCATACTTCAAACCTCAGACACCAAAATACTTTCAATCTTGACCCCAACACAACAATGCACATTAACACAAGACACCCAATTAACAAACACCCTTAGCCTCACAACAACACATGACACCTAACTTGACAACAACATAACCCACCTCTATCACATACTTCCAATACCAAATACCTTTAGACCTGCACAACTCAAAATGTAAGGTGTGCCGTAACACTTGATGAAAAAACTTGTGCGGCCCAAAAGAAAATAGGACAGGCGGGGGGAAAGCTCTTATGAAAGTAATAAGAATAAAGAATATTTCGTTACGTCGCGGGCCGCACTGTGGGTGCTGGCGGGCCGTATGTTTAGATCTGCTTTAGCCTGCCAGTAATGCAACAGATATACATCTTCATATCAACAGCACCCTACTTAAACCTTAATTCCACACACCACATCAGTCAAATTTACATAAATCTTCGTATCAACTGATTTCTAAACACGTATCCTTAAAGAACCGGTGCTCTTCAACACAGTCTTTACTGAGAGTTCCCAGTGTGGATGGACACAGAAAGAGTGCACTCTTTTGAAGCAAAATTATGGAACAAAACAACAGTTTCCTCGATCTTTGAGGGAAATAGAAAATGATAAAAAAATCATTTAAGCAACATTTAAAGACTTTTTCTTTATAAAGATTTTAAGACATCAGAGCGCTTAGAGCATGCCAAGATAGTATGGGTACAAGTGCTATAAAAGTATTCAAGAATCATCATTATCACCCCACTTAAACCTTAATTCAACACACCACATCAGCCAACATCACATAAATATGCCTTTATAAATCAAACAGCATATATCCCAACAAACACCGAAACTGAACACTGAAAAACAACACCAGTTACCTTGTTCAGTTCTCTAGTTTTGCTGAGCCTCCATACACTAAAGCCTGACAATCCCCAACATTTCTTTCATAGGAATTTTTAATAATTACAAAAATTCATATCTGGAAGAAAATGTGTAAAATTTATATTTAAAAAAATCACAAAGTAACTGCAAAGTAATGACATCCTGACACCTTTTTAAGAACCCATGTATTACAGTGATATTCTTTAGTTTTTAAAGAAGTACTCGATGATTACATTATTTAGTTGAGTCGTATACCTTCTCTAGGAAGTGTCCTAGGGAAATATGACAAGACAAGACCGTCAAAATTGATGTGTGTAAAGAATTAATTAAATGAAGCACTTTTGAAGATAACTGATTTGAATACTCTGAAACTACAATACTGTTTCAAAGTTTTCCTTGGCAGGAATTGTATTTGAATGTACAATTTAGAGCAAGCTACAAGGAGCACTCCAACAACACAAAATATAAGACAACTTTACTTCTGTCAGATAAATAAAAAAAATTTAAATACTAGAAACTCAATTTTATTCTTCATAAATAGAGTTTAAAAAATGTATTTAGAGAATTAATGACAGGGACATTTTCTTTTCCGGCTAGTGCCTGCCTTCCAAGCAAACACGTATCTCCCCCCTCCCCCCAATAGAAGCCATGTCGCTTAATCAGAGCCAAACGCTCCCTAAACACTGACTTCACCTCTGACAACTCCATGAGCAGTTACATCCGCAACAATAGAAAACGTTTCACTGTGCCTCTGTGTAACACAGTCCAATATAAACAATAATTTTCCCCCACGCACAATAATCGCTTAGAGCCACCTGGACAATACCGTTGAGGACTAAACGTCAACGCTAGGAGCCGTTAGGATAGCAGCATCACTTCTCCAACCGTTGCACATATGCAGGTACATGGATTCAGCAACGTACCCTTCAAAACCAAAACCAGAATCTAGTCAAGCCATATTAATGTTGTTACGATTTTCCTGAGGTAAATTCAAAGTGTTAATTAATTTCTATTTTCATGAGGTGAGATATCGTTATTGACCAATACCCATCTCTATCTACAGGTAAACGCATCCAGATGGCTAGAATGCTGCTCTTGACGATATTGCCAACCATAGCCCTAGTTATAATATCTTGTATTGATCTCAGCAATAAAGCAAGAACGGTAAGGTTCAGATTGTCTCAGCTAGAATAATGTTGAACTGTTGACATATTTCGTCAAGAAAGTTAATGGCTCACGCTGAACTGTCGATGTTTGTTGTATAGGTGATAGTAAAGGTCGCAAGCTCGCTAAACCGCACGAGTTTGGTAAAGTTCCAACCAACAGCGCGATAAGTTACTTGTACCAGTGTTGTACTTGTGTTTACCAGTGATGTATTTGTGCTGTACTTGTGTTGTACCAGTGCTCTACTTGTGTTGTACTTGTTTCATACAAGTCAGAGAGGAAGTTTCAACAGTTGTGTTTTATGGTCAAATTCCTCCAGCTTGTTTGATGGCGAGTGACAGTGTTTGAAAATTGACAAGACACCTAGCTGGCCTGGTGCAAACCAGAAACTCACTTGCGTAGCAGCTGTCTACAAAAGCTCTCGACAAAAGCTGTCTACAAAAGATCTCTATGTGTCGCTTAGTGACATATGTGTCTTTTATTTATTGTTTAAAACCAAAGGTTTAATTTAAAAACAATTTATTCACCATATCTAAGTGTAAGTGTTAGAATTTTACCTTGGGGAAAATCTTATTTTGGCATGCGCTTCAAGAATTTGACCATAAAACACAACTGTTGAAACTCCTCTCTGACACACATACACTAGAAAAATACGAACGTAAAGCAATAATTCACCATCACCCTTCACTCACAAAACTAAAGTTTACTCAGACTGCCTCAGTAGACGGCAGACAAACAATTGGAGTTTACTCACATCTCACGCCCTTAAGTCACTGCGATTCTCAACACTATCTCCACGAGTGAGAATTTGAATCTTTGCTGGCTCAAATTTGGAGATCAGTGGAGCGGGTCCCCTTTATCGGACAAGTTCATACAAATTAAATGTTTGAGTTAAAATAAAAGTTATATAAGTTTTCCTCTAGCATCGATTTTGAATTGAAGACTATTTGAGGTATGTATTCCTATAGTCTTTTATTCATCGTTATTTGCATTTCATCATAAATATAAAAATGAAAATTGGAGCATTTTTTTTAGTTCTGCGTTATACACCTTTATTGCTTATTTGTGTGCAAAGAAAGAATTTTGTAAGTTTGTATCATGCACACAATGTTGTCTGCTTATGAGCCGTTTAGCACTTGATGATTTTATAAACTGTTTGGGGGTGGGGGGAGTTAAATTTGCTTCCTTGAATTCTTATATCAAAACCATCTTTAAAATACGAGATTGCTTTTAGAACACAATAACCCAATTTGTACGTTCCATTTTAACATTGGAAGCTGATTTTCTGTAACTTATTAAAAAAAATTCAGCTTTACAATTTCATGGCTAAATTGGGCATTATCGACAAAAGGGTATATCAGAAATTGGGCATTATCGACAAAAGGGTATATCAGAAATTGGGCATTATCGACAAAAGGGTATATCAGAAATTGGGCATTATCGACAAAAGGGTATATCAGAAATTGGGCATTATCGACAAAAGGGTATATCAGAAATTGGGCATTATCGACAAAAGGGTATATCAGAAATTGGGCATTATCGACAAAAGGGTATATCAGAAATTGGGCATTATCGACAAAAGGGTATATCAGAAATTGGGCATTATCGACAAAAGGGTATATCAGAAATTGGGCATTATCGACAAAAGGGTATATCAGAAATTGGGCATTATCGACAAAAGGGTATATCAGAAAACACACTTTAGGCTCCTAAAAAAAACATGAACTTTTTATTTCCTGCTACACACCTACAGGTTTCAAGTGACACACCTAAACCATGCAGACGACTAGAAACCGACCGAAAGTGATTTTCTGATTTCGGCCGAAGCCGAAAAAAGGCCGACAGTTTAAAATGAATTTCGGCCGAAACCGAAAAAATGCCGAAAGTATAAAAATGACTTTCAGCCGAAACCGAAAAAAGGCCGAAAGTTATGAATTTTGGCCGAAATCGAAGCCGAAACCGAAGCCGAAGCCAAAAATGAAATATTTAGATATTTTGAAATTCGTTCCCGAATACATTCTGCATACATCGAAAATGATGCGGGAAATTATAAATATTTATATTCTTTTTATAAAAATTAAGATAATCGCGAATATTAATAAATAAACTCGCGGCCCGTGAGTCATTTATGACCCACAAGACGATATTTTGCGGCCCGCTACATGACAGAAAAGTTAAGTGTTAATGCGCCGGCCCGTTTCCCCCATTCTCATATCTATATCGTGACTCTCCGCGACGGTTTCAGTCAAATCTCACCAACTTGTCTAATTCTCATTTTGATTAATGTATCTATATATTTTTGTATGATAGTTATAATGGTAGGAACCGTTTTAAAATCGGAATAATTTTTTTTTATTACATAGCTTTTTATGAGACAAACATCACAAAGAGTGCGGCTTTGAGAAATTTTTTAAAAAGTAATTTGGCGGGTTGACTGCCATATTTGTGTAAATCATAGCAATCTGATACTTTATTAAAGGATTCATATTAAAATTACCGCTAGTGTTTACGAGTGAGGTAAATTCCGGTCACTCAGCCTGGTCACTTTCTAAATCTTCTTCTTATGCCTTTTTACCTAGTCTGAATCTCTACATTTTTTAGATTTCAAAACACAGACAGCAACTTTTCAGCTTTTTTCTGACCCTTTCTCCTTTAATGTGCAAGATGCCCCGCGCGGGGAGCTGAATGGAAAAACAGACAAGAATGGACATTTTATTGCATTGCCATCCATCTTCCCTGAAATGTTTAAGTTGTTCAAGTGGAACATACGACTTTTTGGGAGTACCTAACTGTGTGAAAAACTCTTTTCCACCATGCACTTTAACAAGTCAAAGTTCAGGGCTATACTTACTGTTAAGGATCTTCAAGCTATACTGAGAGTCTTAGTTGTTTCCTCACTCAAGCCAAAATTGCTTAGCTGTGTAAAAAAAAGCGCTTCCAGGTCTCTGGCAACAGTGAGTAGGTGGATGAATCCTATTTCTTGAGAACACTTAATGTTTTTATTGTTATCTATAAAGGTTGAGAAGATTGTAACAGTTGTAATCGCCTTTTTGTGGAATACTTGATGTGGCCCAGTCTCACTCAGACACTACGTCCTGCCCCCCCCCCGCCCCCCCTGATGATTTGAGTTTGAGACCCTTGATCTAATGAATACTTTGGATTTTACCATTTTAATATAATAGTAATTTAAATTGCTCTACAATTTTTTTAAACTTAGTATGGTATTAAAAAATTGGCAAAAATTGGATAAAAAGGGGGGGGGGGAATTAATGCAAAATAGACTCTTGAGTGCCTTTGCATTTATAATATAATTACAACCTAGAACATATACCTACAACAATAATTGTGGCTCTAATAGAGCCAAATAGCACCAAAATATATGTTATTGAGGCTATAAAAATATCACCACAACGTTTCGCTGTTTGCTTAATACTAATGCTTTGTGTTTTCATAAATAGCTTGCAAGATATCACTGTATCAATATTCAACCTAGTAACACCAAACTAGTCTTTCCGTGCTGACGTAGTTTGTTCTTAATGATCGGTTTGTTAGTTCTTAAAGTGCGATGAGTTTATTCATAAAGATCGCTTAATTTGTTCTTAAAGATCACTTAGTTTGTTGTTAAAGATCGTTCAGTGTTTTAATGATCGCTTTATTTGTTCTTAAAGCTCGGTGAGTTTGTTATTAAAGATCATTAAGTTTGTTCAAAAAAGTTTTTTCTTAAAGATCGCTAAGCTTGTGTTATTAAAAGATCCTTTAGTTTGTTCATAAAGATTGCTAAGTTTGTTCTTAAAGATCATTGATTTAGATCTTAAATATCGCTTAGTTGTTTTTATAGATCATTCAGTTTGCTCTTAAAGATCATTTAGTTTGTTTGTATAGATATTTTAGTTTGTTATTAAAAATCCTTTAGTTTGTTCTTAAAGATCACTTATTTTGTTGTTAAAGATCGTTTAGTTTTTCATAAAGATCGCTTAGTTCGTTCTGATAGATAATTGATTTTGTTCCTTAAGGTCGATTAGTTTGTTCTTAAAGATCTCTTAGTTTGTTCCCAAAGAACATTTAGTTTCTGTTAAATATGGCTTAATTTATTCTTATGAATCATTTAGTTTACTATTAAAGATCATTTGTTTTGTTATTAAAGATCATTAAGTTTATTTCTAAAAATCGTTTGTTTTAAAGATTGTTCTTAAAAAGTGCTTAGTTTGTTTTAAAGATCGTTTAGTTTGTTCTTAACGATCGCTTAATTTGTTCTTAAAGATCGCTTAGTTTGTTCTTAAATGTCGCTTAATTTGTTGTTAAATATCTCTTTCGCTGAGTATTAGATGACCGAAAATCTCAGTCACTTTCGGCCGTATGACCGAAAGTCTAAGTCAATTTCGACCGAAACCGAAAAAACCCCGAAAGTTAACTTTTCTCTTTCGGCCGAAACCGAAATTAAGCCGAAAGTTAACTTTTCAGTTTCGGCCGAAACCGAAACTTGGTCGAAAGTGATAAAATGGCCACTTTAGGCGTCGAAACCGAAGCCGAAGCCGCAATTCGGTCGGTCTCGACAGACGACACACCTTAACAAATCACACATATTTAAAATGGTGCTATGAGACGTTTGCCCACTCGTCTCTGGTGCAATGGGACATGTGTCCACCGATCCCTGGTGCATTGGGACATTTGGTCACTGGGGCCCCGGGCAAGCTTATTTTTGCGCCCCTTTTAACTATAATCATAAAGATTTGCAAGGAAAAAATTAGAGATTAGGTAATGAGTTATAATAGTTAGTTTTTTAACAAACAGTTAACAATGATATTCTTTTTTTCTATTGTAATTTTATAGTATAAACAATTAGCTTACATGACAGTTGTTTGTCGCCTTTAAATCAGTAAATCTTGTTATGGCAGTTTCTATATTTTGGTACATTGCAATATATTTTTGTATAGGCACAATTGCCAAAGAATAAATTCTGTCTTGAGACATGATGATAGTGAATATGTATTTAAATTTGTAAAGCTTCTCTCGCCAGCGGCTAAAGTAATAGATATTGTAAGCATTCTTCTTAATACTATTCACAGATTTGGCATGACATCCTGTAAGTTATTTGTGTTTATGACTTCACTGGCTACTATTGGAAACGCAACAACATTAGGAAATAATTCTTTGGCTACATATGGTTCAGTTAACAGATCACATCCATTTCTATCACTATTTTCTGGATACTTTAGGTACAATTATTTCAAAATTCTATTTAAAATAATAATCCTAAAATTCGGACATTCCAAAAAAAAAAGCACCATTATCTCCTGAATGCTTTTAAACATCAAGAAATGTTTTGTAGTAATTATCGTCCTAAGATTGCCTAGTGCTTTGACAAATGAACTCACTAGATAACGCTCTTTCAGTAATCAGTTGTAGCAGTATTACCGTAATATTTCGCCCACCGTATAGTCAACGTGTGTGTATATGTGTGTGATGTGTCCCTCTCCTCCCACCCCACCCCCCCCTTTTGACAACGCCAGTGGTTCCACAAATATTTTTGTCTTCCCTGCGCCAATACCAAATGTAGGTTTTCACCAGGCGCCATTTGGTGAATTCTTACAAGTATATTTTGAAAAAGCGAACATCTTAAAAAGATAAACTAAAGGGTTGGTAAAATGCATTATTTGTAGACAATAGTTGCTCAAGTGTTTGCATCAAGACGGCTTTGATGAGCAGTGTAAATACAATTAAGAAAGGTGTAATATTTCAGCGCCTCTATAAGGAAGCGGAAGCAACCTATTGCCGCCACCCCGAACGACTAAAGTCGCAGAGCAAGCAGTCTACCGATGAGCAATACGCTGACAAACCAACCACCGTCGCTTCCGTAAAATTGAAGTCACTGTCACGAGAAACGGTTGGCAAAGATAAAAGAACTCAAAACAAGCTGTCACTTCCTGTCCTCGATCATATCATTTATGTAGTAAGGTAGACATACATTTGGGAATGGCAATTATTTTCCTTCCCCGGCGCCCTCAAGTAATGCTTTTTCATGTTTTTCAAGATCGCCGATGGCGCCCTAAACATACGGTTCCACGGGAAACTGCCAGAGTTGCCCTGTGTCTTGAGCTGGTCCTGCACATACTTTTTAAAACACTTGTTATGTAGCATACTTTTCCCGTGCGTGAACTTTCCTTGACCTCACATTAGACTCCTAGCAGACAGTAAAGTCTGTTGTCGGCTTGGTTAAATCTCTTTGATGTATCTTTTTTACAAACAACTTCCAATTAAACTTGGGAAGTATGTCTACTTGTATCTTGTCGAAGGTTCTTGATTGTTTTCGAACAGTAAGGGCGTTTCTAGACGCGTCGGTAGACCCACATATATAAGGGATTGACAGGCACAGAGAGGGACGGAGATTGATACATATTTTTAACTTCACGAGGCGAGTATTATTCTTTGTGTACTTGTATGTGTGTATTCGCATTCTTCATTCATCATTATTCATTGGCACAATGTACTAATTGTGTACCTGTACAAGATTTTTCCCATACTCTGTAAGTTGATGATTTGTAATGATATTTCTTTTGTATTATTACTAAATTAAATCTTATTAATTGTAATTGGTACTGTTTTGGGTGTCGTATTTTTTTGTTATTGTATTTCTCTATGATATCGTCCTTTGTTAGGCACTGTTTGATGAGCCATACATTTAAAATAGAAGATTAATTTCTCACTATAGAAGGCACTGGTTTCATGAAAATATTCCTGGTTTCAAGAAATTCCTAGTTTTTTCAGTCTTTCCAGACTGCAAGAGAAAAAAATCAAACGTTAGTATTAGAGAACGACCAAATTTCGGCTGCGGCTTCTGTTTCGGCACCGAAAGTGGCAAGTTGATCAATTTCAGTGGGCTTCGGAGGACGAAATCCACATGGCCTGGGATTATACTTCGTGGTAGCCACAATCGCACTTATTGAAAAGTCCGCCTTGCCCTGGTGGTCAAGGCGGACTTTTCAATAAATGCGATTGTGGCTACCACGAACACCGCCAGCCGGGTCAATTTGGAACACAGACTTATCCTGACTTACGGCACTTTGACGCCAGATGGGATTAATTTTATGTCACTGTTCACAGCTTGACCCTAGCTCCGCCCCTCCACATTCTGACCTATCACAGTGAACATTTTTCTCCCCCTTTTTTTCGCCGCTGCTTATTTAAACTCTCACTCATTTTCCTTCTGCCACACTTCTATTGCTGCCCACAGATACTACTTACCAGCTAAGTGCTTTTTCTTATTTTTATACCGTTTTTTCTGTTGTTTTGTTCGCTGACGAAGGCTTTCTGCCGACACGTTCGCTGTTTTGTTGCGTTTATTTTTTCAGGTTTAACCCTACTCTGTTTTCCTCATTTTATTTTGTACTAACCTGATTGCAGTCTTTCCCCTTATTACCCCTTTACAATTTGGACAGGTTATTGCTAGTTTACAATTTGGACAGGTTATTGCTAGTTTACAATTTTGACAGGTTATTGCTAGTTTACAATTATTCTAATTAAGGAAATTAGAAAAAACTTTTTATCATGTAATATTAGAATCACATACCAATCTGGTGTTTTATTTAATCAAATGCGATTTTACTTTTTTGTAAAGTAAGCATAACTGCATTTGCACTGTAATTTTGCAGCCTTTTCTTTAGTACTGTCTTTCACTGAACTATTTAATAACAAGAAAATATCACCCGATGTCATCAAGATTATGATGACAGTCACTTTGCGATAATTTCCACCTGCTATTGCAAAAACTTATCAAAATTACGTATTTCGAAAAGAAGTATCTATTTAATAATGTTTACGTTTCTAACATCATTAAAAGTTTTAAGAAGTATTTTTCTGCTATATATTATACACCTACCCTAACCCTTTTCGCGCCCCTAAACTACATTTTTCCCTCTAAATATGATCTTAAATTACCAAATAAAGAATCACTAATTAAATCATTATTGTCACCATAGGATTTCATTTTGTAGCTGATTGATCTTCAGTGCAATTCTAAGTTCATAGATAGTTTATGAGAGCATTGCCCTCCACCTTCACTGAGATTTCCAGGTTTTCCCTTGCGGATCATATGACTTTTTGGGGTAACCTATCTGTGTGAAAAGCTCTTTTCCACTATGAATGTTAACAAGTCAAAATTCAGGTCCAAACTTATTGGTGAGCAACTTCAAGATATACTTAGGGTCTCGGTTGCTTTCTCACTCAAGCCAAAGCTGTATAAAAAGAAGCGCTGCCAGGTCTCTGAGTAGGAGGACGTAAGTGAAGCCTAGTTCTTTAGAACCTTTTTTTATTTTTATTTGTCATTTATAAAGGTTGAGCAGATTGTAACAATTGTACTTTAATGAATTTGTAAAAGCTTTTTTGCGTGGAATACTTGATGCGGCTCAGTCTCATTCAGAATCTACCTCATACGGCCGTGGGATGATTTGACTTTGAGACCCCTGGGCTATCGGGTTTCGCAGCACTGATTGACTTACATGACAATTTCTTATTAAAAGTATATTTAAAGTTAAGTTTTTATTACTTTATAAATTTAAATGAATAAAAGTATATTTTTGGAATGAAAAAAAAATTAAATGTTAAAAAATACAAAGCTATTTGTGTGTTTGATATTAACAAGTTAAAAAGCAATAAATTATATTTATTATTTTTACTTTTAAAAATGGGAAGATACATTATACGTTTTGTCATGTGCGATTATTAATTCAGAGACACTTAGAGCTTTGGCTTAAATAGGCAATTCAAGCTATTACGTCATTTGCGTGTTTATTTAGATCAAATTAATTTTAATTGTATTTCAAAAAATTAACAACGCACTTAAAACATACTAAAAACAATTTATTTTTTGGTATTGCATGTTAGATGTGCTTGTGATGTCATTCTTAGAAACAATTTTTTGTGTTTCATTTTTTACTACAGCTGTTGTTATAATGTATAATAATACTGCTTACAGTTTTACTTAAATAAAAGCGGATATATTTTATTTTTTGCGAATTTAAATTTATTCGATTACCGTAACAATAATAGAAATCAACGATCATTGTTTTTAAGAACCCGAACGTATTTAAATCGCTGCGTTTTTTTTTTTTTTTTTTTTTTTTTGTTTTTTTTTCCCCTCTCTTCTTTTTTTTTTTTTTTTTTTATTCGCCGCGCGTTTTTTTCTTGCTTTTTTTTTTTTTTTTTTTTTTTTTTTGGCATTATGCTCAGCCTAGCTCATTTTTATATGTATAATCTTTGTCCCATAACATCCACACTGCCCTTCACCTTTTTTCTAAAGATGAATCCATAAGCAAGAGCCCGCACGGGAAGCCGGGAACTCCCGTATGTAGAAACAAGTCAGACAAACCTATAGCTTAACTATATGACCCGATAAGAAGATTACTCAGCGGTGACCTCGTCATTGGAGTGTTGAAGAGGTGGATAAAAGATTGTCATTACTAGCGTTAGTTAAGTCGGATGCTATTTGACTCGTTATTTGATGACGTTTGTCGGAGTCGTCATTCAATTAATGTCGTAACTCGAAGCGTCTATTATCTCTACATTGATCTAAAATGTCCATGGACAGCATTTAATTGATGACTGTGACAAGGTATTTCTTTAAGATTTGCTCAGTGAGTACAAATATGAAGAAGCATCATAAAGTCGTTGGTAATTGACAAGTATTGATTCCTTGATGCCGTCCTCAGGCGTTAAGCAAATACTGTCCAGTGAAGTGTGACTTTACTAAGCTCAGTACACAGTACACATTTCTGATGGGGTAAATGTATGGTAAAACTAAAATAAGTTCATCTTATTGACGAGCCAAGCCCATCTTAAACGATGCTTAATACATATTATAATAAACTAAGTACATCTTTACTATACTAAGTACATCTTTACTAAACTTAGTATATATTTACTAAACTAAGTATATCTTTACTAAACTAAGAACATCTTTACTGAACCAAGAATATTTTTACTAAACTTAGAACACCTTTACTTAACTTAGTACATCTTTACTAAACTTAGTACATCTTTACTAAACTTAGTACATCTTTACTAAACTTAGTACATCGTTACTAAACTTAGTACATCTTTACTAAACTTAGTACATCTTTACTAAACTTAGTACATCGTTACTAAACTTAGTACATCTTTACTAAACTTAGAACATCTTTACTAAACTAATGCAGCGTTACAATACTGTTGTTCTAGTGTGTAATAAGGGGGATAGTCTGCAATCAGTTTAGGGAAAAAGGAAATAAAAATTTAAAAAAAAACAAAGTATGCGAACACCTGAAAAAAAGGAAGACAGTTCAGCTAAGTGCTACTTTGTAAAGGGAACACAGTTCAGCTAAGTGCTACTTTGTAAAGGGAACACAGTTCAGCTAAGTGCTACTTTGTAAAGGGAACACAGTTCAGCTAAGTGCTACTTTGTAAAGGGAACACAGTTCAGCTAAGTGCTACTTTGTAAAGGGAACACAGTTCAGCTAAGTGCTACTTTGTAAAGGGAACACAGTTCAGCTAAGTGCTACTTTGTACAAGGAACACAGTTCAGCTAAGTGCTACTTTGTACAAGGAACACAGTTCAGCTAAGTGCTACTTTGTACAAGGAACACAGTTCAGCTAAGTGCTACTTTGTACAAGGAACACAGTTCAGCTAAGTGCTACTTTGTACAAGGAACACAGTTCAGCTAAGTGCTACTTTGTAAAGGGAACACAGTTCAGCTAAGTGCTACTTTGTACAAGGAACACAGTTCAGCTAAGTGCTACTTTGTAAAGGGAACACAGTTCAGCTAAGTGCTACTTTGTACAAGGGAACACAGTTCAGCTAAGTGCTACTTTGTAAAGGGAACACAGTTCAGCTAAGTGCTACTTTGTAAAGGGAACACAGTTCAGCTAAGTGCTACTTTGTACAAGGATCACAGTTCAGCTAAGTGCTACTTTGTAAAGGGAACACAGTTCAGCTAAGTGCTACTTTGTACAAGGAACACAGTTCAGCTAAGTGCTACTTTGTAAAGGGAACACAGTTCAGCTAAGTGCTACTTTGTACAAGGAACACAGTTCAGCTAAGTGCTACTTTGTACAAGGAACACAGTTCAGCTAAGTGCTACTTTGTACAAGGAACACAGTTCAGCTAAGTGCTACTTTGTAAATTTTAAGTCGGTTTTGTGTGTTGTTTTGTTCGCTGACGAATGCTTCGTGACGACAAGTTCGTTGTTTTGTTCGCTGACGAAGGCTTCCTGACGACAAGTTCGTTGTTTTGTTCGCTGATGAAGGCTTCCTGACGACAAGTTCGTTGTTTTGTTCGCTGACGAAGGCTTCCTGATGACAAGTTCGTTGTTTTGTTCGCTGACGAAGGCTTCCTGACGACAAGTTCGTTGTTTTGTTCGCTGACGAAGGCTTCCTGACAACAAGTTCGTTGTTTTGTTCCCGGACGAAGGCTTCCTGACAAGTTCGTTGTTTTGTTCACTGACGAAGGCTTCCTGACGACAAGTTCGTTGTTTTGTTGCGTTTTTCCTCCAGGTTTTCCACATACTTCGTTTTATTCATTTCTTTTTCTTGTTGTGTGACTTTCTGTTCTTGATTGTAAAGTTACATATCGTTGTGTTTATGTTTGTTTATTGTGTGGAATTTTCCTTGAGACTTAATTTGACCTTACTGTTTTCTTTTCTTTTAAAGACGCAAGCAGTATTAAAAGTTTCTAACATCATTAAATGGAGTATGGATGTAGGGGAGCTCATTCATTACATGCAGGTTGAACGTGGATACACCGCTCTTCATTTCATCACTGCAAGGGAAACGAAAATTAATCAGCTTGTTGGAGAGATAAGAATGTTGGTCAAAGAAAGTTTCACGTAAGTTTCACAACATTAATTCTATGAACATGTTCACCTATTCTATAATATGTAAGTGTGATCATTGTATTAATGCTTAGATTTCTGCACTATGAAGAATGACCTTTTTGAACACCTTCAAACAAAAGTCTTTTGTCCTAAAAAAATCAAAATTGTATGCCCCACACTGTGGGACCTTCCAACTGCTCAGACCTAACCAGTAGGGACGACCTATCCACTTGTGGAAACTATCCACTGGTGTGACCTATCAACTGGTATGACCTATTCACTGGTTAGACATATCAACTGGTACGACCTATCCACTAGTGCGACCTATCAACTGAGTTCAACCTAAACGTGAACATATACAGTAAATAATCCTTATATCTGTATATTATGCCTAGATCAGTTTGTGTAACTAATCTTTAACAAATATATGCCATTGATGCACACTCACATATTTATGGACATAACATTTGATACGCTTTAAATAAAACATGCTACATCGGCGTCTATATTAGAAATTTCAGAACAGGTAAAACTAAAGCTAAATAAGCTACCAACAGGTAAAACTGAAGCTCATTAAGCTACCAAAAAGGTAAAACTGGAGCTCACTGAGCTACCAAAAAGGTAAATCGGAAGCTCATTAAGCTACCAACAGGTAAATCTGAAGCTCATTAAGCTACCAAGAAGGTAGAACTGAATTGCATTAAGCTTACAACTAATAAAACTGGAGCTCATTATTTATTTATTTATTTATTTAGACATTTTTATATAGCGCTTATCATAAAGCTCTAAGCGCTTTACAATTATTAAAACATGTAAACTAAGTAAATACAAATGAGACACTAGGATAGTAACTACTATAACAATTATTAAAACATGTAAACTAAGTAAATACAAATGAGACACTAGGATAGTAACTACTATTCTATAGAAACAATGAAAATGGCTATAAAACGAGGACACTTTGACACTTCAGGATCAACCCGAAATAGAAAATGAGGTAGGGCAAGCAGGGTGCATCACAGGTCATAGGCGGACCTAAACAGATGAGTTTTAAGGGACTTTTTGAAAATGGAAAATTTTTGAAAACTAAGCTTACAACTAATTAACTGGATCTCATTAAGCTTACAACTAATAAAACTGGAGCTCATTAAGCTTACAACTAATAAAAGTTGAGCTCATTAAGCTTACAACTAATTAACTGGATCTCATTAAGCTTACAACTAATAAAACTGGAGCTCATTAAGCTTACAACTAATAAAACTGGAGCTCATTAAGCTTACAATAGGTACAAATGAAGCTCATTAAGCTTACAATAGGTACAAATGAAGCTCATTAAGCTTACAATAGGTACAAATGAAGCTCATTAAGCTTACAATAGGTACAAATGAAGCTCATTAAGTTTCCAACAGGTGAAACCAGAGCTCGTAAAGCTTCCTATAGGTATAACTGAAGATCATAAAGCTTCCAGCAGGTAAAACTGGAGCTCGTTAAGCTTCAAAAAGGTAAAACTGGAGCTCGTAAAGCTTCCTATAGGTAAGACTGAAGATCATTAAGCTTCAAACAGGTAAAACTGGAGCTCGTTAAGCTTTCAACAGGTAAAACGGGAGCTCGTAAAGCTTCCTATAGGTAAAACTGAAGATCATTAAGCTTCCAACAGGTAAAACTGGAGCTCGTTAAGCTTCCAACAAGTAAAACTGGAGCTCGTAAAGCTTCCTATAGGTAAAACTGAAGATCATTAAGCTTCCAACAGGTAAAACTAGAGCTCGTTAAGCTTCCAACAGGTAAAAGAGTTTTGTGTTAATCGTCCGGTTTTTGAGGAAACCGGAGATTCACCTGTACATGTTCGCGGTTACTCCCAACTTCTGCAATTTCAACAATAGACCGGACCTCCAAACTCGGTCGTAGGCTTGTTTGAGGTCGAAAAATACAGCCACTGTATTTGATTTTTTCTGGAGCCCATCTGTTATGGACTGGAGAAGACGGAGCACTTGGTCCACAGGCTGCATTCCCTTGCGGAAGCCCGCCTGTATTGGGCTGAGACTCTTAGTGCTCTCCAAGTGCCAGTAAAGTCTCTGGTTGACCATTCTCGCGGCTACCTTCCCTAACATCGATGTTAGAGAGATCGGACGGTAGCCGGTCGGTTTATCGAGTTTCTTCCCTTCTTTGGGAATAGGGACGATGGTAGCGCTAAGCCAAGCTCTGGGTAGGATTCCCGTTACCCACGATCTGTTTATGATTTTCAATAGCTCTCTCCTAGCTATTGGGCCAAAGTTTTTAATCATCTCATTGCAGATCTTGTCCGGACCTGGTGCCTTGGCGGCGTCGCACTTGTCAATGGCGATTTGCAATTCAACCATAGTGAAAGGCGCGGTGAAGACTTCTGCATGCGGCCCCCACTCCTGGGCCACTTCTCCATTTCGCCGGAGACGGTTAAGGTTCTGGCTCTCTCTGGTCTCTTTCTGCTTCCAATTGATCTTTGCAAAATGCTTGTTTAGGGCATCGGAACTTTTGGCATCTGTGGTAGCCGTGCCTGTCGTCGTTTGCAACGGACGCAGATTTCTGACTTTTCCCGTGCAGGATAATGAGTCTATCAATCGCCAGACCTTTTTGCCGTCTTTCAGGTCAAGTTTTCCGCACGTACTAACCCATTTTTCCTTTTTCGCCCTATCAACCTCCTTCCAGACCTCTGCCGTCAGTCTGTTGTAAGCATCGGCCGTCTTCAACTTTCCGGCTTTTGTCCGGGCTCTCTTTCGTTCACGGACCATTTTAGCCAGCCTCTTGTTCCAAAAGGGGCGGAACTTGCGGTTCCCGTTAGTTCTCGGAATTGTTTGCTTTGCCACTGTGAGGATACCACTCACAAAGTCGTTGTATGCAGCATCAGTGCTTTTGGGTGTATTGGGAGTCTCTGTTGACTCCGCAATCATACGTTCTGTTCGCTCCTGGAACAGGGACCACTTGGCTTTACCAAACAGCCAGTGTTTCCTAGCAAACCTAGGTTTTGCAAGCGCAAGACAAATTGTAATGAGGGTAGGTTTGTGGTCACTGCCAATCTCATCTAGGACTTCGCACTGAGTCCTCGCCTCGAGCTCAGCAGAGACCAGTGTAACGTCGGGGCGTGACAGGGCGCTATTGCCCGTGTGAAGCAGTGTAGGTTCACTGTCACCATTTTGCAGTCTGATGAGATTGGTTGATAGCTCAACCTCCTCTAGGTAGCACCCAGAGGCGTTAGTGTCGGGATAACCCATATCCCCCATATGGGCGTTAAAGTCCCAGCTATAATCCTATCGCTAAAGATTGTAGTGCCCTGCAAGGGCAGGCACAGAGTGTTTCTCGGAGTGTTATAAATCTTGCTGATGGTAAAGGACTTACCACCTATGACTACCAGAGTATCCGTCCCACCAATGTTTTTGCTCTCTACAAGCTCCGCTGTGAGGTGGTTTTTCACGAGAGTTACCAGACCTCGGCACCTTACGCAGGTGCAGCGGTAGACCGAGAAGCCCGAGATGTGCAATGGGTGCTTCTTCAGTAGGGTCTCTTGCAGTAGAGCCACGTCCACATCCCGATTGTGGAGTAATTTGGTGAGTTCGGTTATTTTCCCTCTGACCCCGTTGCAGTTAAGCTGCATAACTACTAAAGTTTTGGGGAGGTGACCAGCGGCACCTTGCCTAGTGCCCCCAGTAGCACAAAAGCCTGCAGTCGGCCTGAGCCCCGTCACCGATCTGCAGGGGAGGAGGGGATTCGAGTGTCCCTCAGTTTGAGTCATGTGTTTTTTTACTAGCCATGTAAAAAGAATAATAACTAGGCTTTATTTTCTTACCTTCTCTCGGGTGAAAGTTACAAGTAACTTCCCCCCTTCACATTGGGAGACAGACGTAGAGACGTGAGTTTTTTAGGTTCAGGTAGTCAGGTCTACCCTACTAGTCCGATGCGCCAACTAGAGGCAAAACTCTTGTGTGTAAAAAATGCCATCGCACCAATACTCAAAATTTGTGATCTACTTTAAAGAAGTCTTACGTTATTAAAAATAATATAAAAGGTAATTGATAATTTCAATTTCCCTTAGGCAGAAAATAAAATAGATTAGATGTATTACCGAGTAACGCATTTCTATCGATGAGTTGGTAAAATATATCCTTTGATCAGTCTAGACTCTTTGACTGTAAACAGTACATAATAATGAGATTAAATTGATAGCCTTCTGTGCCTCTTCTCCTTTCACTCTCTTTAATGCGAACTGTGCCTGTTCCTGGACACTTTGGGATTCATTCAGGATGTGGACTATTGATTTGCCAATTTGATCTAGATAGTTTAAATTAGCTGAGGCTTTCATCCAGATAGTTTAAACTAGCAGAGGCGCCCCCTTCGGGGTTATTTTGTCTCACGGGGCGTCAAGTTGACAACATAAATGAACACTTCACACGTTCTTGTGTTATGAGCAAAGCTATACGCACCGCGCCCAGGAAAGACTTTCATTTGTCTGCACCAATAGAACAGTCAACTTTCATGACTGACTGATCTTGATTTCTTGTGTATAACTCATATAAGGATGAACACGAACGTTAATCTCCGGCTAAGGGCATTCCCAATGTTCAGAAATGCAATTTGTCATCCTGCACAATATCAGAAACATCTGAAAAGGGAAAAAAATTAATTAATTCACAAATCCATCACAATTACGGCCATCTCAGCACTTATGACATAGAACATCCAATAACTACAATAAGGATATGGAAAGTGATGGGATAATGAAAGTTTTCACTAAACAAGCACAGTATTTATTTGAAAGGCAGCAGAGTAACATTGAGGATAAGATTACTGTTATATTTCAACCCACCACATTTATCATTCCTATCCTGCACGCCAGCAACTTTCAGTTCACGTTACCAGTTTCAACATGAGATAGACGTTCACATCACGTCTTGTCTGTTAGGACTTTGAGTAATGTTTGACAGGAAAGCAAGAGCACTAGGCTTACTTACAAATTTTAGGATGACTGGCCCAGCACGAAGTGGATTATATAAGGGACTTAAAGCATAGGAAAATAAGCAGTGCTCATAATCGGGCCACTGAGCTACGAGTGAGAGCTCAATTAATCACGTTATAATAAAATCAACAGATCGCTGTTGAAAAGTTTTAAACAATATATGCAACTGTTTCCAATAACTTGAACTCTACCATTTCGCGTTTTGTCATTTTTATACAGGTCTGTACATGTTACCACATGTTACTACATGTAAAGTATAGTACATTATAGTATAGTAAAGTATAATTCGGATGAGTCAATATCAAAATAGTATTGTGTATTTACAGGTTTATGTGTGATTCCAAGTAACGAAATAATTAAATTTGAAAATAAACATAACATTTTGTCAATGAGAGAAGAATGCTCTTCATAAGAAAAGGATAAATGGATACTAGACAATGACAACGTAAAATAGCCACACAATAGCAATGAAATAAACATTAATTTCAGTGCACTGTATAAAACGCTTTTCTTGTATGTCTGAAACTAATGACCGCATTGTCTACTTGACAAATTTGTACTACAAACACGCCCAATAAGTTTGGTGGAACTGAAATTTGTTGGCACGGAAATTTGGTGGAACGGAAATTTGGTCGAACAAAATTCCTTTAATCCAAATTTTCTTTGATCAAATTTCAGTCGACCAAACTTCTTTCACGCCATATCTGGAAAAGCCACTAAATGACATACAAAGTAAATGGAACAATGTAAATATTGCAATTGATCTTACTTTTTCAAAAATTCCTTGGATTAATAAATGGTTAGGACTTTCTGACGATGAATCTTTTATTTATGTCATCGTTAGATGAATAAGGTTTTTACGGTTGTTGATCAACCAGTGAATCTCATTTAATACGTCTGCAATACTCACGCGTTGTTTAGACTTCCGTATGAAATTGTATATGACTTCTTCAATTAAAATGTTCAAAAATGATAGTCTTTTGTTACTATATTTTAATAAAATGAACTACAAACTGTAGTAGCTATAGAACCCTTGATATTCAGAACACTTAATGTTTGGAGCCACTGATTTTAGAACCCTGATATTAGGAACAGCAGATATTTAGAACCCAAATGTGTAGAACAATTGGCCCCTGAAGTTTAGAAACCAAATGTGTAGAACAATGGGCCCCTGATGTTTAGAATCCCTTATGTTCAGAAGCCTCAAGACTCTAGCCTCATGTATTTAGATCCTCTTCTGTTTGAGACTGCATGTCAGGTGCACATTAGTCGGTCCTTGTCCCAGAAATATCAAAGAAACACAACAACAGTAGCGGAGATTTTGTCAAAGGCCTGGGATTGAAAGAATTGGGTCAGATTAGATGAGCTCTGGCAGCTTCTGTTAGATCTGTAACCTACGACGGATGTCTTGTTTGGAATTGATTTGGACATCTAGAAGGCTAATCCTGTTCCATGTATAATGTATGTTTTACTTAATGGGTTTTCTTCTCAGTTCAGAGGATTAAAAGTCTGTTTATAAGGAAGAATTAAACTAAATCAATTCTTAAGTCAATGGCAATCGTAGCTCTATGAGTTCACACAAGTTTTAGGCCGTAGCTGAAAGAGAAGTCTTTAAGTTGTGTAAATACATCGTCAACACGACAGACGTTCTTAAGCTTTATTATGTAAAAAGCGATTTACATTCAACTATTTTACAAGCCAATATTTTTTATTGTGAAAAAAAGTTAAAACTTCATTGGATAGTTCTCCCACGTTGTTTTTTTTTTTTTTTTGGTTTTTTTTTTGGTTTTACTGTGCAAATAAAACTCTTAGAAATAGGTCAAATTAATTTTTATATATAATATTTTTTGTGAAAAAAATTTAAAACTTCATTTGATAGTTATTCCACGTTTTTTTTTTTTTTTTTTGGTTTTTTTTTTGGTTTTACTGTGCAGATAAAACTCTTAGAAATAGGTCAAATTAATTTTTATATATAATGAGTGATTAATTATAACTTTAAGCGCTTATTTATCTGGTTTAATGTGGTTCGTTCTTAACGGTGACACATATTTCAAAGTCATTAAATAAATTTAGACATTTGTTTTGCAGTTTCGAATGTGTTCGAAGGAAATTCTTATCACCCTTTTTGTAAGGAATCTGCTTCTTCAGTTGTGTTCTAAAGTAAACACAAGTAAAAAAATATATACAAAAAAAACAAACTGTCAACATTAATATTCCTTACAGAAGCACGGACCAGCGAATAGATGCCCTTAATGCGTGGCCGTTGGAAGGTAACCCAGCCTATGGCAACATAAGTGACTTTAGTGAGTTTAAGGGTCAGCTGAACGATTACAGAAAGAAATTGTTTTATGCACCCGACACTAATCGAACCATCCAACAGGAGATGGCCTTCTATGTGGACGTCATCGAGAAGCTGATCACATGGTTATATGGGTAAGACGTTAATGGGTTAGGAGTTAATCAGGTCATCACTTGGTTATATGGGTAAGGCGTTCATCAGGTCATCAATAGGTTATATGGGTAAGAACTTAACTAGGTCGTGACTTGCTTAAATTGTAAGGAATTAACCACCTATACATATGGTCAAATTGGTAAGGAATTTACAAGGTTATGGCGTGGCTATATGGGTAAGAAACTAACAGATCATCAATTTCTCATAATAGTAAGAAATAAAGTAACTTTGTAATCACTTGGTTTTATAGGTAAGAGCGTATCTAGGTCATGACCTGATTATATGGGTAAAGAATTAACTAGGTCACATTTTATAATTTAATGACATACCATCGATTTTTATTTTCTTTTAAAAATTATAAATTATATTTAAAATAGCTTTAGAGATTGATGACTTATCTCAAATCATAAAATTACAGGTCGTATAGTCTAACAATTCATAGGATATACTTTTAGCATTCGTTATATCACTATACAAAAATAATATCTATATTTTCACAATTTGCGGCAATTACAATTCTTGTACAAATGATTTGTTTTAGATGCACAGTTGTATATCCTTCTATTTCTGAATCTTTTCATACACACAACTTTGATTTGAATCAAACCCTTCAACTGCAATCTACTTTGTATTTGATGTTTAGAGGCCTGTTACTTTTAGAACCACAGATGTTTCCAAGCCAAATGATTAGAACCTAGATGTTTTAAATACTTATGCTTATTAGAACCTAGATGTTTTAAACACTTATGCTTAGGACCCCCGATGTTTAGAATTCCTGATGTTCATTATTTCGACAAATTTTCGTTTCCAGAGCTATAAAATATACACAAGAAGGTGACGAATGGAGACAATTAGTAGCATACCAGTTACTTGTGTCTAGCAAGAATGACATTGGTAGGTTTAGTAGCATACCTGTGTCTGTTGAAACTTGGTTTTTAATCATCAATTTGATAGTTGAACATGTCTGGTGCATTAAGGTCTAAATAACGTAGATGACCATCCATATTTTACTACGCATTCATAAGTGAATGGTGAATCTATGAAACTGTAACTACTCTTTGGGCTGGTTACCAAGTTCACTTGTGAAAACACAAATCAATAACATTACGATAATTTTAGAAAGATGTGCATGATATTTTTTATTGCGCTATAGATAAACACTGACTTTTAATGGACTGACATAATTTCGGTGCAGTTGTAAATAATTTGTGAATAAATGAACTTACTTTCAGCAGAGCCCCCCCCCCCCACGCCTTCGGGCCATACGCATTCGTAAGCAAACTCTCTAAGATCAGCAACCCCTCGCACCTCAGTGTTTAGCCAATATATGGAATGCCCAAAGATATAGAAAAATAGTTATAAAAATAGAAAATAATATGGTTTGCTAACAAAGTTATGATAAAAGAGACCCAAGTATACTCTAATATAATCGGAAATTATTTCAATATTTTACAATATCTATATCTGTAAAAACAACAAGAAGTAAATCTATGTTTGCCTATTGCCTTATTATTTATATCCAAACATGTTCTTTACCTCACTTCCAATCATTTCATTTAAAGACAATTTTATAGCATTATGAAATTAAATGGATTTATACGAATAGAGCCAAAAACAATATTTGATTCAAAAATTAAATTGAATCACGTTATAATAAAGACATTCTAGTGCATCCAACCGTCTCAATGGCATAGGAACGCAGACGGAAATTATGTTTACATAGCTCATATAAAAAACGTATTTAGGGCCCCGGCCAAAAATAGGCTAATATCGAATGTTTAATAATTTACAAAAATTCGCGGGCGTGCGGACACCAACTCACCAAAATGTCATCGGATGAATGGTATGGGAGCGCATACGAGAATATATACATACATACTTAGCCAGGTTAATCTTCTCATAATCATTTTCATTACATGATATCAACAAAAATGATGCTTATGAAGAGGATTTTAATTGTTGTCATAATAATGTCTTACTGTTTGCTGTTTGAGTGCGTTACATTGTCATAGAGTGGTACGACTAGAGCAAACATGATCAAGCTGATCAAGAAAGTACGATGCTGGTTTGGTATTTTCTCAGTTAATTATCGCGCAAAGCGATTACAGCACGGGACTAATCAGTTGGACTACTGTTAATCTCTCAGGTATAGAACGGACTCTGGGCAGCGTCTTTTACCTGGTCGGTCACTTCAATCATAACCAGTTGATGTGGTTCCTAAGTTCTCAAAGCAGAGGAGAAGGTGAGTATGCAAAGCATCTTAAGTGCTTGATAACACTGGAATGCGTGAGTACACATAATCATCTTTTGTGCTGGATGACATTGGAGAGTTTGATTTTATAGAATCATCTTTTGTGCCATATGATGTTGGAGAGCGTATATTTAAAAGTCATATTTTTTTCTGGAGAGCGTGAGTACACAAAATCTTTTGTGCTGGATAGCTTTAGAGAGCTTAAGTTTATAAAATCATCTTTTTTGCAGGATATGGAGAGCATACTTTTATTAAGACATCTTTTGTGATGGATTATACTGAAGAGTTTAAGTTTATACAATCTTTTGTGCTGGATGAGATTTGAGAGCGTTAGTTTATAAAGTTATCTTTTGTGATATATGATCTTGGAGAGCTTAAGTTTATAAAATCATTTTTGTGCTTCATAGCATTTGTTATGTATAACATTTTACACGATTTCCCCGTGCTTGAATTTTGCTTGACCCATTCGTTTGATGTATCTTGTTGACTACCGCCTTTCCAATTAAACCTTGTAAGACTGGCTCCTAGTATTTTGTAGAATGTTTGTGATTGTTCTAGAAATGTAAACAAATGCTGAATTGCTTCTGGAAGGCAGGGCTTACGCGTCGGTAGACCAACCGATATAAGGGATTGACAGATCGGGGGAGATTGAGACGGAGATTACGATAGGTTTTATTAACTTCACGAGACGTGTATTGTTCTTTGTGTTCTTATATGTGTTTACTTCTACTTTCATCATTATTCATTGGCACATTATACGAACTGTGTTAATTGTGTACCGGTACAAGATCTACCATACTGTAAGTTGAAGATTGTCATTATATTTTCTTTTCTTTTGTAATTATATTAAGACTTAGTAAATCTTATTAATTGTAACTAGCAACTGTTTTGGGTGTCGTATCTTTAATATTGTTAACTCTATGGTATCGTCCTTTGTTAGGCACTGTTTACAACGAGCCAATAAAATTAAAATAGGAGATTAATTTATCATATTAGAAACCAGTGCGTAACAGCATTAGAGCGCTTAAGTTTATAAAGTCATCTTTTGTGTTGTATGAAATTGGAGAGAGTAGGTTTATACAGTCATCATTTGTGCTGGAGGACGTTGGAGATTGCAAGTTGCTTGGTGGCCGAGTGGTCTAAACTGTCTCAAACCAAATAGCTGGTAGTGTGGAGTTCAATCCGCACCAAAGCAAACATCCCAAGCACTTTGGGTGGATGGGATTTGGACGGCAACCCATCTAAGAGAAGGCAAACTCTATATTTAAATCAGGAGCCAGAATTGATCGTGGACCCCTCAAATATAAGAATAAAGTAATCTTTTTTGCTGGATGACATGCAATCATGTTTTGTGCTGGATGCCATTGGAGAGTGTACGTTTATAAAGAAATCTTTTTTCTGGATTTACTTTTTTGCTGGAGTACAGAGGCAGTGGGAAAAATGTTAATGTGGTGGGTTATTATAGCTGGTGAATACTTTTATGACTGATTGTAAATAATAAATAGTATTATGGCTGATTTTAGCTTGCACCTGTCCAACCTTGTGGCTGATTATAGTTTGTAAATAATGTTGTGGCTGATTGTAGGTAGCAAAAAATAATTTTTTGGCATTTTGTAACTTGTAAATATATAACTTGTGGCTGATTGTAGATTTGCAAATATCCATCTTTATGGTTGATAGCTAGTAAATAGGTTAATGGCTGATTATAGATGGCAAATAATTAAGGTAATGGCTGATTTTAGATTGTATACATGTAATTTCATGTTTCAATATACTCGGTACATTTTACGTGATAGGATGACGTCTCCATTATTTATGCAGTACTATTTAAAATAACAAATATAACAGTATATCGTAAACATTGAAAATAACTTCACCAAGGCAGTCTGACTGTGCATGAGGGGGATTCGAGGATAATTGTTTCAAAATTATAAGTGGGTTTAGATAAAGGGGTCGGGGGGCGCTTATGAAATAATTACTTATTACAAGTGGTAAAGTCGAATTTTCAGATTTCCATCTGCTGATAGGTGGTACCGTTGGCCATTTGCTGATAGTTGGTACAGTTAGCCATTGCTGATAGGTAGTAAAGTTGGCCATTTGCTGACAGGTGGTACAGCTGGCCATCTGCTGATAGGTGTAACAGTTGGCCATTTGATTATAGGTGGTTACAGTTCACCACCTGCTGATAGGTAGTACAGTTGGCCATCTGCTGATAGGTGTAACAGTTGGCCACCTGCTTATAGGTAGTACAGTTGGCCACCTGCTGATAGGTGTAACAGTTGGCCATTTGATTATAGGTGGTTACAGTTCACCAACTGCTGATAGGTAGTACAGTTGGCCATCTGCTGATAGGTGGTGCCGTTGGCCACCTGCTGATAGGTGTAACAGTTGGCCATTTGATTATAGGTGGTTAAAGTTCACCACCTGCTGATTGGTAGTACAGTTGGCCATCTGCAGAGATGGCTCAGCACCGGAATATCTGAAAGAACTGATTTATAAACATGTATCCGTGAAGAGCCTGTGGTCTTCATCACAGCACTTGCTGAGTGTTACTAGTGTGGATAGACACAGAAAAAAGTCGTACGGAGTGCGCTCTTTTGAAGCGATAGCGCCAAAATTATGGAACAGTTTGCCTCAATCTTTA